AATATATATATATAAAAAATATGATAATAATAGACACAAGTGATGCACAGTATAATTGCTCACCGCCTGGTGACCGATGCCTGTCCTGGCCCGGCCTGGCAAGCAATCCCAAAACAGATAAATCCTGACACTGCAATCCCAGACAAGTGAGAGGCCCAAAAAGAGAGAGAGAGAGAGAACTCAGAGAGATGAAGAATCCGAGAGAGCCCTTGGAAGAGCTAGAGTTCCTTCCTGGTCAGCCCTCGTCTATATACTGGGCATGAGGTTCCATGATCTGGAATACTCCAGTGGCCAGTTTGGCCCTCAATCCTAAGTGTGAGTTCACTCACAAGGGGAGTTGTGGACCCTCTGTCCCAGCCATGCTCCCCCCAGCCTGTTGTGCTCCGGCACACTGGCAAATCATGGGAAGCTGAAAGGTCCTTGATGTCTCAGCACCAACTACAGATATCAGTGCGCTGTCAACAGCCTTCTCCTAACAAATGCCAGGCTAAATCCAAAACACGGAGCTCTTCTAGCTGCTAAAAAGCAAAACTAACTCTGTCCCAGCTGAAACCAGGACCGTAGGGCTCAAAAAAGCAGTTTAGGAAATGCCCAAGACCCTGTGAGGGACCAGGAGGTGATGCAGAATGGATGCAGAGGGGGCAGAGGGGACAATTGGGGCAGCAGCAGCACAAGGAAAGCTCAGTGCAGCATGGATTGTCTCCTTCTTCTCTTCCACTTTCCTACTGAGATGCCGAACACTTATTTTGAGAGGATGGGACATGAGAAGAACTGTGGGATCAGGTTCAGACATGCTCTGTGGTTATGGCGAGGACAGGGGCTGCCTCTTCTGTCCTAACTGTGACAGGAGAGATGACTATGCTGAATCTTGGTTGCAAGAACCTTTTTTAGACCATAGAGGGTCCGGACTTTGCAGAAAAGGACTGATTCCATCTAAAATTGGTGACTTTTGAGGTATTTCTGGTTGGCAGGGGGAGTTGGTGTCCGTTCTGGCCCTCTGCCAATGGCAGCACAACGTCCCGGCGTCATAGAATCATAGAATGGTTAGGGCTGGAAGGGACCTTCAAAGGTCATCTAGTCCAACCTCCCTGCAAGGAACAGGGATATCTCCAACTAGATCAGGTTGCTCAGGGCCTTGTCCAACCTGGCCTTGAACGTACGGCCATTTTAAGCGACAAGGCAAAGTTTGGTTAGACGAGGTTCTTCTAACCTTTCCGTTTTTAAACAGGTCACCAGGGTGCTCGTGATTCACTGCATGATACCACATCCTCTCCGGACTGTGCAGAGAGCGCGTCCCACCCTGCCCCTATTAGTGTGCCAGGGCCCTGAGAGCGCTAATTACCCTGACGGGGCTCATGTTGGGCCCCCACCCACGCACCCTCCGCCCCTTGGCGCAGGAGCTGCATTTAAGCTGAGGCCGTTTGGTTTGGTCCTTGTTTGAGCTGAGGTGGGTGCACGGTGGATTTGGGCTTGTAGTTCTTGACATCCTGGCCGTGGAGCTGCTGTGGACTTACCTGAGGATCTGGATTGCATCCATCCCCGGTCAGTGCCACCAAACCTGCTCTGCTCCTCTGGTTTGGGTCCCGTGGGGCCGTGCTGCTTGTGGTGAGCTCTGTACCCCTGCTTGCCTTGCGTCACCTTTGGCTTCTGGCTCGCTGTTGTGGTGCACCCCTGCTCTTGCAGCTCCTTGGTTTGCTCAGGTGTTTTGGGTCCTGGGCTGAGCACTACAGAGGCTGACCGTGCAGGACTTCACCCATAGGACTTATTGCTCTTCAAACCCTGCAGGACCTTATGGCTGCAGCGGGAGGTTGTGGTGCCGCAGGCTTATGTAGCCCTTTCAGTGGGGATTCGGAGTGAGTACAAGGATTTGGGCTTAAATGCAGCTCCTTAAGTGCAATGGGTGGATGCTCCAGATGAGGCTGGTCAGGGCACTCGGAGCTTGTTGGTGTACTTTAGACCCTGACATCATGTTTGGCGGGATCTCTTGGCAGCCTTTAAATCCGTGCGGGATGTAGCATGAGTAATGAAGCAGGCTATAATTTTGCCTTAAATTAAGTCCCTCCTTCCTGTTTTCAAAGAGTGAATCCGCAGGAGGTGGTGTGGACAGCCTGTTGGTTCTTTCTGAAACGTTGAAGAACACAAGCTACAGGTGGGATTTGACTTCCACCAGAACTACTGTAGTGCTAGAAGCAGGGAATTCTCATGATGGTTCCTGTCTCTTAGGGCAGACTGGCATTACCTGATGTGTGTTGCAGGGAGTGGAGATCTGCTTGTTTCCCAAGGGCTGGTCTTAGGTTAAACCTCAGAGACCTGAGGACTCCCAGGAACGTACCTTACCTCCTGGCAGAGCCTATGTTCTCTGCAGTGTGCCCCCAAGACACAACAGTTGCAGGATGACTAATTCCTATATGTCAAAACAGGCAGAATCCCTGCCTGAGGCTCCTTTTGTTCCCAAAACCATGACGCCTGGCCTTACAAAAGACTTGCTTGGAGTCTGCTGTGAACCCACGACGAGAAGCTACTGGCACGTCCGCACAGAGGTAGAGTGGGAGTGGAGATTAGGGGATCCTCTGGGAGGTGCTGAAAAATGTTGAGGGCGATATCGGTGAGATCCTCCGGGGACTGTCAGAGACTTCTTTTCCTCAGTCTCCTGAGATTGAGCACAGAGTAGCTGAACCGTCTCCCTTTTGTCCCATGTGAGTTCCCAGGAACCCCATCTGCAGGAATTACAGCGGGGTCAGCGCCCAGCTCTTCCTCGGTAACATTCTGCGATGGGATGAACAAAAAGTGTATCCAACAGCCCTCCAGCTCTACCTGGTGTTCTGGGACAACCGCAGCTGGGTGTTCCCTTGACCAAAGGCAAGGGAGATGGTTCCTGAAGCTTAGCCAGGAGACTGCTCATCGCCGTTACTCCCTCAACGTGAATAACAACAACTCAACGTCTGGGCACCTTGACAGAAGACGAAAAAGGTGGAGGCTGTTCCCCATGAAGTGAGACATAGACAGAGGCCACCACGAGAGCAAAGGGACCCAGAGAGCTACTGGATCAGGGGAACATTATAAAGCTGAGAGGACCTGGCAGTGGCTGTTCCAGCACTTCTTCAAACCTGTGTCACCACTTCCTGAGAAGGATCATAGAATGGTTTGGGTTGGAAGGGACCTCAAAGATCACCCAGTTCCAACCCCCCTGCCATGGGCAGGGACACCCTCCACTACACCAGGTTGCCCAAAGCCCCATCCAACCTGGCCTTGAACACTTCCAGGGATGGGGCAGCCACAGCTTCTCTGGGCAACCTGTGCCAGTGCCTCACCACCCTCAGAGTGAAATCTAAGGATACTTCCTTAGAAGAGGATTTCTAGCAAGGTGTTCCAAGGAGAAGGGTCTAGCTGTGCAGTTGAGCTCCTCTAAGTTCCTGTTCACCCCAGGCTTTTTTCTGCTCCTGCTATGCAACTCGCTTTCGTGTAAATCTTGCTGCAACCTCAATTTGCTTGAAGCACCAGCTGGCTGGATCTGTATGAAACCATCCCAGCTGAAGATGGAGAGGATGCTAGGAATTTGAGTAAAGAGTATATTTAAACTATCTGGCTTATATCCAGCAGTGATTAAGAGCACGTTGACATCATGGCCTTGGCAGGCAGGACTCGGAGCCTGCCTGCTATCGCCGGAGTGATTATTTCACTGGATTGTTTCAAACGGAGTATTTCTGCTGGAATGAGATCTCTCTGCTGGCTGCCTCTTTCTAGCGAGGAGTGGGCTATTGGAAATCCATAGTAGGACAAAAAAACATGACCAAGAGGTGCCTGGTAGAGCTCCTGACCCCCAGTGAGAGCTGGGATGACGTTCAGTTTGACTCTGTTTTCCCCAGTCTAGAAAAATGTGTAAAAGGACACTGAGGATCTTTGTGGGCAAAGCTTTGAAAACAACTCCTGCCTTACGGGTTTGAATGTGTCAGTGGAAAATATTTTTTGGAGGTGAAATCGGCCTCCTATCTGTTGGTTGCCTTGAAAGCTCTGATAAATGTGAGAGTGTAGTCACGTGGAACACAGATATATTTTTTCTGAAAAAGGGTTTCTTAACAAGTCCTCTATAAATTCACTTTTGCTAGGCTGAGTTGCACTTCACATCAAACATGAAGCTGATTTCGATCTTCAGTGCCCTCTTCGGGGCTTCCTTGTGCCTGGAGACTTTTGTTGGGTGAGTTATGCTTTTGTGGTAGACCTTTTGTTTAAGGCCGTATTATCCAGTTGTTGTTTATCATGATCTTAACTTTACAAAATTTGCTTGGGGCTAATTCTTTGCTTTTTTTGACTGACCTGTCTTATGGCTTTGGTACTCCAGTGTTTGAAGGAACCCCTCTCTGCTTTCCTTTGGGTTTTCTAAGGAGAAGGGTCTAGCTGCAGAGTTGAGTTCCTAAATTCACGTTCACCCAAGGCTTTGCTTTGGCTTTGACTGTACCTAGGGAGTGGTCTTGAGCCTTGATCTGGAGCTGAACCTCGCTGCAAAGCTCGAGTGTTCAGCTTGACAGGTGTTGTCCAGCACAAAGCAGAGCCAAAAGACCAGAGCCTGGCTTCAGATCGGGGAGGTCATTAGTTTCCCTTTGGTTTTGAAGTTTCTTATTTCTCTTTAAATGCTTAATCCTCTTCAGAGCCTTTCTAAGTGATTTGAATCCTTAATTTCAACCATTATCTGTGTGTTGCATCGCAAACTTATCTCCTTCTGGTGTATTTCCTCACAGTCGTGCTGACTGTGTCAGAACCTTAATAGCAGATGACAATGATAAACGGATACTTCCTGAGATGTAGTAAGCGAGCTCCAGATTCCAGTGAGTAAATCTGGATATGAAGATACAAGGCTTAAGAACAAGAAATAATATACATAATTTACTAACACCCTAGGATTTGTAAAGCCAGGAGAAGCTATTTTGATAATTTGATCTGGGCTCTGGCGTAACGTAGATTAGGTTCTCGTGAATTCATTCCTTGGTCACATCCAATAGCTGTGGTTAATGAGCCTCATCTCCTCTTCAAAGAAGAATCCAATCTCGAAATAAAGCTTATGATGATGGAGAATCCAATAGTAAGTTGTTAATGTGGTAAAGTGCCTTCAGTGTTGAGAGAACCTGGTTCAATGGAAGAATCTTACACCTCTGCTGGCCAGACTGAGGAACCTGGTGTTAACGAGTGTCTCGTCTCAGCAGCTGAGGCCACACTAGTAAATAGACACACGCAACACTGCGCTTACACACCAAGTCCCTTGTTTACTCTGTCTTAAGGTGTGTTTTCCAATTCTGCAGTTATTCCCATCGGTTTGCTCTGAGTTGTCTCCAGTTTTCAGTACTGCCTGCAGTGGGTGCCAGCAGAGCCGCTGGGCCACGTCAGGATGTGGGACTCCGTGGACTTTTGTTGCGTCTCCAACAGTGGCCGAAGGCAGATGCCTGGGCAAGAGAGCGCTTCAACCACTAAACGCTGTTTGCAAACGCAGCATTAGTGCTCTAAACCCCAGCTGAGGAGCACAGCGGTGCTTTTGGCTGCAGCTTTGATCCCAGGCTGTACTCCCAGTGAATTATTTGCTGTGGCTCCCAGGTTTCCTTCAGAACCACCTCCTGGTTCTCCAGAATAAGATCTCCTGTCCCCCAACTCTTGCATTCCCTTGTTCATAGATCCTTTTGTCATTTCATAAAAGCATTGGGTGGAAGGAAAGTCTTTAGTCCATCCTCCCACTCAACCCATGGAGGTGTTTCCTCTTGTTATTATCATCTATCCCTACTGAGAAGAGTTCCTCATTTTTTTTGTAACTTCCCTTCAAGTACTTGTAGGCTGCAGTTAGATCAGCTCGAGCAAGCCTGGGTTCATCAGCCTCTCCTCGTGGTACCAAACTGCCTGGAACATCGTGTCATTGAATGGGATAAATGTTTTTAGTGATCTCAAAACCACTTAGAGACTGTATGTTGCACAATGCACAGTCTAAGTTAATTGCTGGGGTTACCTCTATAACCAGTGGAGTGAGGTTCTTCCAGACGGTGATTCATTCCGCCTGGAATGGTGCAAACCACCCTCTGATGGTATCAGCTTCTGACACCACAGGGAGGTTTGTCAATAGTCTTTGGCTGAACTGAAGAAAGGTGAAATGAATCCCATATTTAGTGTTTGGTTTCCTTTGTTGTATACTGCTCCCCAAGCATTTGATCATTTGCAAACTGAACCAAATTTTTTTTTTCTACAAGTTGTTGACAAAAAAAAAAAGAATCACTATTAGATGCAAGACTGATCCTTGCAAGCGATTAAAAACTCATCCACTTGATGCCTTGTTTATGATGAAATCTTAAAACTGGCTATTTAACTAGTTACTAATCTGGTGCTCACATAGCAGACTGGCCCTGCAGGTTGTTGGTCGAGCTCCTGGGTGACACTAAGTCAGCTGCATTAAAGAATTCCGTGTCATGGAATCACAGAATGGTTTGGGTTGGAAGGGACCTCAAAGATCACCCAGTTCCAACCCCCCTGCCATGGGCAGGGACACCCTCCACTACACCAGGTTGCCCAAAGCCCCATCCAACCTGGCCTTGAACACTTCCAGGGATGGGACAGCCACAGCTTCTCTGGGCAACCTGTGCCAGTGCCTCACCACCCTTGTCATATCGGCTGGTAACACGCAAGTTCTACCCACCAAATTCTTGATCTCAGTAACAAGCTAGTTCAGCCAGACCCCTTTCTGAGACAGTTTCTGAAGACTTACTGATTTATTGCAGGCACCAGATTCTCCGAATCAAGCCAAGAAATGAGGAGGAGGTTAAGAAGTTGCAGCTTTTAGAGTCGCTGGAACACTTTGAGGTATGTTATTACCACAGAGGAATTTTTCAAGGTTTCAGACTGGGGTAGAACTTACCAGGGTAGAACTTTGCATCACATTTGGAAGGTTCATACCGTACTGTGGCAGCTGCCCTAAATGAATTTGCTATCTCAATATTTGGTGTTTGATCTGCAAGTTCTAGTACCAGCCTGGTACTGAGGAGTACCTGCATTCACATTTTCTTCTTACTGGCTTTATGATCATATTTGAATGGATCTTCTCTTAATCTTAGTATCGAGAAGCTTGTCTTTCAAGTGGAGATGCTAATGTTTTTGTACTTATCTCCTAGCGTTGTGGGAGGAATTTATTAGAGTCTATGTTCTATTGAAGCAGGAAAACACACTGTAAAATTCTCGTTATTACTGTTCTTATTGCCGTTGGTGAGAATTTTTATTTTCACTTTCTTTAAAAATATGGATTTGAATAGTATGGAAATGAAAATTTAGAAAAGCCTTACCAAAGGAGAAATAAAAACAATGGGTTTCATATTACCTAATACTGCAGTATGGAACTTTTCTTGAAACTATTTCTGCTAAAAGGGAGAACAGTAAAATCAATGTCATAGAAGACTAAAATTTCCTTTTGCTTATGTGACTGAAGCTCTCAAGTCAGTGAAAATGCTGACTTTAAATTTCTGTGTGTTTTTTTTTTTTTTTCTGTGAATTTGTGACATTAACTGATAGAAGGTTGTGGTGATGCCAAGCTAAAGGCTGGAGCGTGGTGTAAGCATGACGGGGGACGACACTGCAGGAGTCATTCAATTTGGGAAAAATCAGTGTTTCTAAAGCTTTAGAAGAGCTGTTTGCAAAACACTTTCCCCAAACTAAATACATTTTCCTTTCTCTTTTCAGCTCGATTTCTGGATAAATCCCTCCACCCCTGCCCGCCCTGTGGATGTGCGAATCCCCACTAACTGTGTCCAAGCAGTTAAAGCCTTCCTGGAGTCCCATGGGATTGAGTACTCTGTCCTGATCGAAGACCTGCAGGTAGGCAGTGCCGTTGGCACGTGATTAGCTTTTAAATCCTGTGGAAACAAATAATGATTCACAATCTGACCTCGTTCATTAAGTCATGGGCTCTTCTATACTCTGCTTTCCATGAGGTCCCCCCCTTATTTTTATAGTGTGTGGATTAATTTCTCAAAGATAATCTGTGGGTCACTGCTGCGTTGAGGAGCTGTGGAGATCACTCTGCAGATGCTATCCGAAACTATGTTGAATAGTGACATAGTGACATCAACAAACTCCTAGGCTCCACAGGGCTCCTCTTCTGGTAACCCCTGAGGAATTTTGTGTGGTCTTTTGGCCTCAAAGGTTTGGGAACCACAGCACTGAAGTGGCTCATAATTCTGTAATCTCTGTTAAGAGAAGCTCTGGATCATAGTCTGAAAGCACTGTACACCACCGTGTGAGAGAGAAGTCAACCCCTTGGGCATTAATCCGACATTTCTTCGTGGGCAGAAATCCCAAGATGGCACCTAAAATAGCATTAAGTCAGCAGAAACACTGCCTTTTCTTTTTTTTTTTTTTTTTAAATCCCTCAAACTTTCCATTGCTATTCTTATTCATCTTGACCAGTGTTTAAAACTTAATGGTGACCGTTTACGCACTGGTATTCTTGCCCACTTCGCTACGGATACATTCAGCAGAAGCATCTGTTTGCTTCCTAGCTGTGGGAAGTTTGGATCTGGGGCTGGGGTCAGTACGTAGTGCCATCACTTTGTTATTTGAGATAAACATTTAGTCAGAAGTTTGCAAATTAAGCAGGCTTTTCTCATCGGACTGGCTTCTTTTAGGTTGTTCTAGATAAAGAAAAGCAAGACATGGCCTGCAGTCAACAAAGGGATCGCAGCCGCAACACCTTCAACTATGGAACATACAACTCTTTAGATTCCGTGAGTACCTCAGCTTTAGGGGAAGAGAATTCTTTTTTCTGGCCTTTTTTTCACCTACTGTCTTCAATCAAACATCCTATATTAAGATCCAGAATGTCTTTCTGCCTTCTTTTGGCACGTGGTTTTGTTTTTAAATGTATTAATTTCACGATCAGCACGACGAGCCAGTGCTCTCCCTGACAGAGTGTTGAAACGGGCAGGTGTTGATGATACTTTTCCATAAACACTTCTGCAGAGCTCTGGCAAAACCCTTCCTTCAGACTCTCAAAAGAGAGAAAGAAAGAAATGAATTAATCTTGAAGTAGGGAAATACAGGAAGCCAGTAGCTATCAAGCAGAGCAGGGGGTAAGGTATTTTTATTACCAGAAGTTCTTGAAGAGGGTTTCGAACTTTTTCCTGAAATAAGTAGACCTTGATGATACAGCAGTGCTTCCTTCTACTCGTGATGTTAGGAACAGCACTGACTATGCTGACATGAGGTAAGGTGGGGCTTTGGAGAGGTTGTAGTAAAGAAGGCAAAAGGAGAGAAAAGTAGATTTCATCAGGTCCCACAATTGTTCTGGCTAGTACTATAAATAAAGGTAATGTAAATGTCATCGTGACTTTTCATTTCAGATTTATGAAGAACTGGATAATCTTGCATCTGAGTATAGCAATGTTGTCAGCAAGCTCCAGATTGGGGAATCCTATGAAAAGCGGCCTCTGTATGTGCTGAAGGTATGACGTATAACGTGGCGCAGAATGTGTGCATACAGACTTTGGACAAGGGCATGGAGTGATAGAACAAGGGGCA